CTCTTCTCTCTCTTCCCCCCTCTGCCACTGCCACTGCCACCCACACTCCTCTCTCTCTCTCTCTCCCTCCCCACAAATCTTCCTTCGACCCCTTGTTGTTCTTGTACACACCCACCCAAGGGGTTTGAGAAGGTCCTCCTTCAACCTCAATCCCAGGTAACAGGTATAGACCTCCCTCACCTGATCCTATATTTAATCTCTTCTTGTGTAGGTTCGCATTGCCCTGCCCCTCCTTTTGTCCCCACCTTCCCTTTTGTTTTGTTTAATGTTGGCCATTGATGCGGTTGGATGAGAGGTTTCTCCTGTCCTGGGGCCAAAGTAGAGAGAGAAAGTGCTGCGTGCGTGTTTGTGTGCTCGAGAGAGAGAGAGAGATGTTCTTCGTCCCTAGAGAGAGAATTTCGTGATTCCCCTCTTTGAGCGCTCCAAGAACATGTACGTATCTATCTAGTAGTATGCGTATGCCCCTGGTTTCCTCTCTCTCCCCCTCCCTCTGCATCCCTCTCTCTGTTTTCCCCTGTCTTTGCTTCACCCACACTTCAGAATGATGTGTTCCTGTACTGTGCGCCTGATCTTTTTCCATGCGATTTTTATTTCGCCTGCTCTTTAATGTGGCCAGACGGGAATTCAGCGGCCGTTTCTTGTTTGGTTATTGCTGCTACAGCTGTGGTGCTCTGTTCTCTTCTTTTTTTTACTGCGACAGTTTTGATGTTCTCTTCTTTTCTACGCGAGATTTCGTCGTCTCCGCCTTCCCCTCCTGCATCAGAATCAGATGCCGTGTTCTAGTTTCTTTAGGTTCTGTAGCGGATAACGGAGGTAGTCTAATGCACTTCCCTGTTTTTTACTTTTATTTTCCCTTCAATTCTCCTTGCTTCATCTGGTTCTGAAAGTTTCAGAGCGAGAACTGCCTTGCCTCTGCAAGCGTTGTGTTTTTGGTTGGGGTCCGTAATTTATCCATCTGTTCCGTGCCCTGGTTAAGCAAGATGCAACGAGCACTGATGCGCCTGTGCTTTGTCCTGTCCAGCAAATCCTTAATTTTTCCATTCCCTTCCGTGGTTCCACTCGCAGGTTGGCAAGAGCGATTGAGCATTTGGTTGGGGGATTGGAACTACTAGTAGTACTCTTTCCCTTGTGGGCAGTTTACCAAGAGACAAGTGTTATTATTACCCATCATCATCTTCAGAGCTTTCTTGTAATTTTCTTCTTGTTACAGCATTTTTTTAACCTTTAGTCCGGAATGATGATATACGAGATAGAGTTGGGGTAGCACCAATTGAGGAGAAGCTTGTCCACCATCGTTTGAGATGGTTTGGGCATATTCAGCGCAGGCCTCCAGAAGCTCCAGTGCATAGCGGACGGCTAAAGCGTGCGGAGAATGTCAAGAGAGGGCGGGGTCGACCGATTTTGACATGGGAGGAGTCCGTTAAGAGAGACCTGAAGGATTGGAGTATCGACAAAGAGCTAGCTATGGACAGGGGTGCGTGGAAGCTTGCTATCCATGTGCCAGAGCCATGAGTTGGTTGCGAGATCTTATGGGTTTCACCTCTAGCCTACCCCAACTTGTTTGGGACTAAAGGCTTTGTTGTTGTTGTTGTTGTTGTTGCCAACTGCTTAAGCACCGGAAAATCAGCCCACCATGGAGCTGTGGGAATTTAGTCCATCCAGGGCCAACACTTCTGTTTGCCTGCGGTGTACAGTTGGGCACTTCTTCGGAGGCTGACCCCTCATTTCACCTTCAAGATATCTTTGCATTGTGTTTTTCTGGCTGCTTGTGATTTGTGGACGGTAAAAGATTGTTGTCTGTGCTGATTTCACTGCACGAAAAAAATGCTGTTTCGAATTCCAATGTTTCATTAGTTTTACCCAGCACCGTCCTGACTCTGTTACCTTCAGTGTACTGAACTGAATTCCAGTTTACTGAACTGAATCCCTATATCTTCAGTGTACTGGACTGAATTCCAGTTTCCCGTGGCCATGATTACGCAAGTAGGCAGTAGGACCGTTTATGTCTTGCTGGGCCAAGGGTTACATTCCTAACTTTCTTGCTTTTTTAGCCCTCGTTTAGGAGGAAGGAATGTCGCTGCTAGCTAACCGAAAAATGTGTAGGGTATGTTTTGTCAGTGGGGTATTTCATTTCCAAAGGGACGTCTTTCTGTGGTGTTGTAGCTCTCGCTGTCTTTTGAGAAGAGAATTTTTTGGGTCTTGTGAGAAGTAGCTGCATTTCATGTTTGATCCCAAGTAGTCAATCTCAACACTCCTGATTGATTGCCTGTTGCTGGTGATTAGCCTGTCTCTGAGTTCCCTTTTGATACACAATTTGATCGCTCATGCTTCTGAAATGTTTGGAATTTGCTACTGAATAAATGTATGGAATTCGCTTCTGAAATGTCTGAAATTTGCCTGATTGTAGGTTGGTACGAATCATCTTCCAATTCATTGGCTTGAGCTGCAATGCACAGGTTGCCAACAATTGACCACTGTACAGTATCAGGTAATTTCTGCACGTACACATGATACTTGGTTTATTGGAGCTGAAACTTACCTGTCGCATTCCTTTTTTGTGTTTTGACATGTTAAGACTCCGAAGTTCTGGCCCGGGCATGACATATTCCTGAAAACACAAGGCTCTGGAGACATGGGATGTGCTGCTTCCCGATTGGAAGATGAGGAGGCTGTCAAGATGTGCCGGGACAGGAGGGACTTCATCAAGCAGGCACTGGATCAGCGCAACCGTTTTGCGTCCTCTCACATCGCCTACATCGAATCCATGAAATGTGTCTCGATGGCCCTGCAGCGGTTCGTTGCTGGAGATGATCGGCACGAGCTCATTTTTGACCCATTCATTTCTCCTGTCAAGCAACAGAAGCCAGAGATGCTCGGCCTTCCTTATGGTTCGTATGAGAAGAGGACTGTTCATGTCGCGAAGTACTTGATGTCAGGACCAAACCCATCAGTGTCAGTTGAAGAGGCTCCACGGCCCGTGGAAACAATCCGTGTTGAGTCACATTACCCTGTGGATGGCTATGGTGGCACAGATAGATTCTTCCCAGCCAATTCCTCACCGATGAGGCCATCTTCTCACTATACACCTTATGACAGGCCAAGCTATGTAGCTCCATCACCCCAGGAACCAGTGAGGAATGCTTATTACATGCCACCTTATGACAGGCCAAGCTATGTAGCTCCATCACCGCAGGAACCAGTGAGGAATGCTCATTACATGCCACCTTATGAAAGGCCAAACTACGTACCTTCATCACCCCAGGATCCAGTGAAGAATTCTTCTTATTACATGCCACCTTATGCTCCATCACCCCAGGAGCCAGTGAGGAATTCTTATTACATGCCACCTTATGAGAAGCCAAACTACGTACCTCCATCACCCCAGGAGCCAGTGAGGAATTCCTCTTATTACACGCCACCTTATGACAGGCAAAGCTATCCACCTGCTCCACCCCAGGATCCAAGGAGGACATCTTTTTACGCATCTCATGACAGGCCAAACTACCCACCCTCATCACCCCAGGAACCAGAATCATCACCGTGGGACTCCTTCTGGAATCCATTCTCGTCGCTGGACAGCTATCCGTACCCGCGCCCTCGGAGTAGCTATGACAATGTGGTCACTGACGATGAATTGGCACGGTTACAGCGGGTAAGAGAGGAGGAAGGAATCCCAGAACTCGAAGAGGAAGACGATGAATGTCAAAAACATGAACAAATGCACAACAAAGAGGGGGAGGGGGAGGGGGAGGATGATGATGATGAAGAAGAATCTGATGAGGATGATGATGAAGAAGAAGAATCTGATGAATGTGAGCATTCAGATGACCAAAGATGTATGGCTTCTAACGAGGCTCGCCCAGGAAAATCTGAAGTCAATGTCAAGCAAGAACAAAAGGGACATCAATCCAAAGGTGTTCAATGCGCAGGCTCATCCGAGCCCCGAAATGCAGTAGATCATGAGATCAAGGCACATAAGAAAGAACTAATGAGGAACAAAGTAGCAAATGCAGAAGAAACCCCAGGTTTCACTGTTTATCTGAACCGAAGGCCAACGAGTTTGGTCGAGGCTATGAAAGATATTGACAGTCAGTTTTTGGGGATCTGTAGCGCTGCTCAGGAAGTCTCACGGATGCTGGAGGCAAGTCGAGCTCAATACTCAACCTCAAATGATCTCTCTGGTACCACTTTTATAAACCAATACTGAAGTTATTATTTAAAATGTTTCAGATTTCAGTCGCTGAACTTCCTCATGATTTTTTTAATGCAGTAAAGATGCTAAACCCAGTCGCACTTTTGCGATCTGCATCAATTCGATCATCATCTTCCCGCTTCCTTCTTGCTTCCTCTGGCTCAATAGATGATCTTTTTGACAATGATACAAGCAGCTGTTACTCTGAAGAATCTTGCAGCACAATGTCTGGAAGTCATCACTCCACTCTGGATAGACTGTATACATGGGAGAAGAAATTGTACAAAGAAGTAAAGGTATGGTCTTTCTCACCGTCACGAACCTATACCAACAGGTCAGTAGAACCGACTAGCGGAAGTCATGCTTGCGTTTGTCACTTGTAGGTGGGTGAGCGGTTAAGACTTGAGTATGAGAAGAGGATGACACATTTGCGGAACCAGGATGTGAAAGGGGAGGAGCCTTCTTCTGTCGATAAGACTCGTTCAGCGTTGAGAAGCTTACAAACTCGGATGAAGGTGTCAATACAAACTGTTCAGTCAATATCAAGAAGAATTGAAGTTCTAAGAGACGAGGAGTTGCACCCTCAACTTATGGAGCTTATCCAAGGGTATGCTTCTGCTCACCATTGAGAAGTTTTAGTACTCCCTCCATTTTTATAAGCCAACATTTCATAAATAATATGTTAATTGGTCAAACAATGGGCATAATCCAATCAAGTAAGAGTAGATGATGGCTAGCCAGGCAGTCACGACTTAAAATGCCACAGTTCCTATACTTGGAATTTACTGATGATATGATATGGCTAAAATTTTCAGCAAACAAAGGGTGAATAGCTGTTGGGTTATTGATCATAGTAGGCATGCTGATGTAGGAATGCACGTGAATTTAAGGGATCTTGCCTGATCGTAGCCTTCGATAATAACAGAGCTGTTGTTGCATTGTGCAGACTGTCGCGGATGTGGCGAGCCATGGCTGAACGCCACGAGGCTCAGAAGCGGACCATCGACGACGCCAAGCTTCTCTTTCTCCAACACCGCGCATCGGCGGCGACCACCGTGGCTCTCGGTCCTCCGGAGGCGACGACGCCGCCTCCCGCCGCCGTCGCGCTCGAGTGCGAGGTGCGAGCCTGGCGCGGAGCCCTGGACGCCTGGCTGTCGGCGCAGCGCGCGTACACGCGCGCCCTGGCCGCCTGGGCACGACGCTGCCTGGGCATTGGCGCGGACGCCGCCACGCCGCGCACGGTGCCGCCGGCATTCCTAGTGTGCATGGAGTGGGGGCTCGCCGTCGAAGCGGCGTCGGAGGCGCGGGTGATGGACGGGCTGGACTTCTTCGTGGCCGGCGTCGGGTCGGTGTGCTCGGGAGCTGCCGCGGGCATGGAGGGCATGGCGGGGCGCGTGCTGTGCGCCGGCTTGGGAGCCGTCACCGGCGCCATGGCCGAGTTCGCCGCGGCATCGGCGGACGGGTACGACGCCGCGGTGTCGGCGGCGGTGGCCGCGCGCGCGCCGGAGGGCGTGGAGGAGGAAAACGCGGGAGGACCGCCGCAACAGTAGGAAATTCCGCAAAACCGTGGATACTTTTTTTTTTGTAGTTGGAACCGTGCCGTTACATGTAGCTAGGAAGTCGAAGCATGCAGTCACATGTGTAATTTTGTAGCTAAAGATGCAATTGCATGGCTGATTATTGGGAGGAATGGTTGCCCCAGTTTATACTAGCAGCAGTAGCAGTGTTACCTTAGTACCTTACCCCTGGTGGTTTTCGTCGTATTGAAGTCTGAATGGTTTGTGGTATTCTGATTTTCTTTTCTACTGTATAAGTGCGACGTTAAGCAGTTTAGAACATTTTTAGATTAGTTTAGAGCATCCGCGGAGGTTGCGTGAACGGTTAGGAGCGGCAAATATTTAGAAGGGTGTGGAGTCAACTCAATTGAGATTTAACCAAGTCTCAGTCAAGTGACAGAAGATATAAAAAAGAAAGAGAGAGAAATTCAAAGAAATTTTTGCATGGATCTCCATGTAATATCTCGAGAATATAGCATGGATTGAGATTTAACAATCCCGATAATAGAATTGCACGATTGCAAGTTCAATCCCGTGGCGGAGGTGATGATCATGGCTGGCCCCCCTAGCATCCTAGGTTTCTCATGCATTGTGGCGACCTTGCAGGAATCCACCATAGCCAATCTAGGGAAGGACATCCCGCCCTCTCCTATGTCGGAGTAGTGCCCTAGGGTTAGAAAATCTTCGCACACGGCGAGTGTGCGTCACCTTGGCTGCATCTCTATCGGCAACATCGAATTCACGGGTAGCGGGATAGCGGAAGCCTCGACAAAGAACATAGGACCTAACCCAGCAACAAAGATGATGCTCTTCTCCAAAGGATGGAGATCACGGAAGAGGAAAGGGAGGTGGTGGATCTCTTGGGACTAATCGGAACGCCCACATGTGAGATGCTTTGGGCGATGATTCTTAGGGTTTGTGTCTGAGCTTCCTTCAGCCATACGATACTTTTCACCGCCTTGCAAGTGGCTGGGGGTGCTCAAAGCAGGTCAAATTCAGGCCCTTGGATGACTACACAATCATAACTGAGTTTCTATGCTTTGGTAAGTGGAATATTGCAATGCATGAGGACAGTGGTTGTTCAGGCACCAGCCGATGATCATTGAAGAGTATGATGGGCTCATTACAGGGTTTAGTTCAATTCAAATAAAACATATATATTTACCCCTATGAGGGGGCTTAGGCAAGGGGATCCCCTGTCGCCTTGCCTGTTCTTGATTTTGTGGTGAGGGTTTTATTTAGTTTTCTAGCACATGAGGAGGAGATTGGCGGTATCCAAGGGCTTAGGGTGTGCCATAGTGCACCATCAATTTCACGCTTGTTATTTTCTTATGACTTCCTAATCTTGATGAGAGCGGATGCGTCGAATGCCACGACACTCCCGAATGCTCTAGATATGTATCGTGCAAGCTTTGGGTAGTTGGTCCACAATGCAAAGACCATTGTTTTTTTCCAGCCCTAAGAGATGAGGTATGTGCATAGCTTGACACTGGCTCAGAGGCATTGACTGATAAGTATTTGAGATTACCACCATTTTGACCGTAGTGATTGCTTCCAACATCTTTTTGATAGAGTCTGGGCACTTAACAATGGTTGGCTATCAAAGATGTTATCTCTTCGCTGTGGGGGGGGGGGATGTTATCTTTTAGTTGGAAAGAGATACTTCTGAAGGTAGTTGCATAGGCAATCCTAGTCTATGCTAACTGTTTTTAATATCTTGAAGAATACATGTCAGGTTGTGTGTGATGCTATTGCTAGATTCTGGTGGGGGTGGCACTCAAGGTAAACGAAAACTGCATTGGAAGGCGGGGTGGAAAATGTGTGTTCCAAAAAATAAAGGTGGCATGGGGTTTGAAGATTTACATTGTTTCAAAAAAGCAATGCTAGCAAAACAGTGTTGGAGATTATTGTTTGAACCATAATCACCATGTTCTCAGGTCTTCAAGCTAAGTATTACCTGGATTAGGACTTATGTAAGGCTATGTTGAAGAACGAATCGTCATACACATGGCGGAGCATTCTATTTGGTTTGAAAACTCTTAAGCATGGAGCTAATGGCGACTTCGAGATGGTGCGACGATTAATTTTTGGAAGGACGATGGACCCCAATGAGCCATGATCACAAGATAATTACTCATGGGGGCGGTGTTTATTACAGACAATTCATGACTTAATTGATCCAATTTTAGGGAACTAGGATGAGCAAATGATCAAGGATAATTTTGGCCAGTTGACGTTGTGATAATTCTTCAAATCCCTCTACCTTCACATGGTCAATCAAACTTTATTGCATGGCAATTTACCAAGTCAAGATGCTTCACCATGTGGCTTGGAGGAAAAAAATATAGATCGAGGGCCATACTTAATGTGGGAGAAGGAAGGATGGGTCCACATCTGGTTTGGAAGTTTTTCTGGGGAAGACATGTATCCTCGAAAGTTCATATTTTCAACTGAAGGGTTTTGCGCGACATAGTTCCGTGGTGTTGGACGTTGGCGAATCAACGTATTAAACTCCAGTTGCCTATACAGTCTGTTGTACTGATCGGGAGGATCTCTGGCACATGGTTTTTATTTGTGACAGAGCTACGGAGGTGTGGGAGGAACCTGGTCTTAGGGACTATACTGAATCAGTTGTTGTTCAAGAGCTATCTGGGGAATGATCCTTGAAGAGTTGGTATGTGTTGAGCTCCCAGCAGGAACGGGCATCCCAATTGTAATGTAATTCATAGTATCATGGTGGCATGATGGTACATCTAGTGGGATTGTTGCAAATCACCCATGAGGTAAAAATGCCCCCTGTACGATAGGCTTTAAGCATCAAGGGGATTGTGGTGAATGCGTTAGCAACATAGGTAAAGGAACCAACGAGGCAAATGAAGTGGATTGGACCGACTTCACGAACTATAAAACTGAATGTTGATGCTAGCTTCCATCCGGAGTCTGGTGCGGCGGGAGCTTTGCTTTGGGACTCAAATGAGAAGTTCATTACTGCATATTGTTTACATTAGGAGTTCTCCATGGATGCCTTGATGGAGGCTTTCATGTTGTTCGAGGGGCTGCGCTTGGTAGATGAGTTGAGGATTTTACTCGGTGGTGGTAGAATATGACTGAATGGAGATTGTGCATGCCATCCTAGATCCTTCAGAGTGCCGTGCTTCGGGGTCAATGGTGATCGATGATTTCCCTACATTGTTGAGTTCTTTTGGCAAGGCAACGATTGCACATTGTGCCCGAGAGAGCAATGTTGTTGCACATTCACTAGCTCGAGCAAGTTATAAAGAGAAACTTTCAAAGGAACGACGTGAACATCCTCCTGACATTATAATCCCATCTCTTGCAACAAACATGGCTATTGTTTAATTAAGGCTGACATAGTTAAAAAAACGCATGATTTTAGCAATCTAGAAAACTCAATTTGGAATTTACCTTTAAGATCTAAGCCCAGGAAAATTCTTAGCTATGCTTTGGCTTGGCTAAGATAATTGTGATAGATTGAGTGTAATTTTAGAGAGGGAATCTTGTCAAAGGTGTGGTTTGAAGCAAGAACTTACTTGGTTTTAATGGCGGACTCAGAGATTGAGGTTAGCCAGGGCAAGGACGATGACAATGCTTGATAGCTTTGCAGTCGCTAGTGATGAGTAGGTGAGGTAGCTTGCTTCGTTGAATAACCTGACAATAACCCTTGTTTGCCCCAATCTTGGGTCGGCCACTACTTGATTGGTTAAACTTTGTACCGTTACATCTTTTGCAATGGAACCTGGCCAAATGGCTATAATGCCATATGAAGAGAAACCTGGTTAAAATTTCCAAATTTATTGAGTGTGTCAATGTGTTTTACAATATATGGTTAGAAACTAGACAACCTAATTCTACACAAATATGAATTTATAGGAGTGGCTCCAAACAAGGCCCACATAGATCTTGTTGAAGCTATAACACCCTCTAGAGTTGCTTATACCATATTTGAGACTTTAGACCGGGAGTTCCATGAAAAAAGTTTATAAGAATCCTTCTAATGGAAGACTGCAGAATTCTATGATTCTTTTATTTTGATACCAAAATGAAGTAAGCTAAGTCATATAATCATTTTTCCTGAACTAGCAGGAGAGCTACATGTCAATTCATTATGAGAGGAAAATGATACATTGGCAAAGAAGGCGCGTACCATACAACACCAAAGAGGCACAACCCAAAAGGAAGAATCTAAACAACCTAAGGATCAAGATCCACAAGCAAGAGATGACCAAACCCAACCTAAGGTAGAGCAAAAGTATGCCATACAACATGAAAAGCGATAAACATCTGATGCAAGAGCCTGAACACTGGTCAACTACAACACGACCTAAACACCCACGATGACCTACGGCGACAATGACTTAGGTAGACAAGCACCATAAGGACCAAACAACAACCAACCATAAGACAACACTTCTTGCAAAATCCATGGCCATTCCAATGCTACAAGATCGGACTTTACCAAAGCCATAGAAGAGGGGCCGAGGAGGTGGACAAGAACCAAATGGTGGGGAGCAAGAGCACAGGAAAGTACCGGTGATGAAAACCATCACGACCGATGACCTGAATCGGGAATTGCCGCACAATCTGAGGAAGATATGAAACAGAAAATGGCGTCTACACCATCACAAACAAGAAGCCTTCAAGCATAAGTGACCAATTACCAAATCCAAAATTCACTAGCGACGGGAGACGAGCTGACAATTAATGACCAAATCAGCGACATAATCAACGGGGAGGAAAATCAAACGACGGAATCCCACTCACTACTGGCCGGAGACGAGCCACAAGGAGGAAGAACTGCCAGATCTGGCAGAACCTCCGCCAGATCTGGTAGAACCCCCACCAGATCTGACAGAACCTCCACCAAATCTAGCAAGTAAAGACCGAGACAATAGGCTAGGGGGAGGGGCGAGGAAACATATGCACACCTGAATCGACCTGATGCAGCATGCATTGCATCTAAACATGACCGCTGG